TTTCTATTTTAAAATAATTTTTTACTGTTTTCCTAGTGTCGAAAAAATCCAAAAAAATTCTTAAAATTCTTATTTTGCTTCATTAGATTATATTTGGTGTGTTTGTATTTTTTGAATTTATTTTAATCGTTCTCCTTCTTTCATTTTTTTTGTCTATTTCGGACATAGTTGGTATTTATGTGTTTATTGATAACATGGATGAACAAAGAACTTTGAGGCAGTTGGTTGTCCCTGATGTGAACTATAATTGTTTACATATTGACTATCCTACAATTGATGCACCTTTTGAATTGAAATCTGATTTAATACATTTGTTGTTAAAGTTTAATGGTTTTGCAGGTGAGAATTCGCATAAGCATATGAAGGAATTCCAGGTTGTGTGCTCAGAACCTTCTGAACCTTCGCTAGAGGACATTGTCAAACAAATGGCTGCAAATAATCTCAAGTATGAACAACAAATAGATTCTACTCTTCAGACTTTGCAAACACGGATTGAACAACTTGCCTCTTTGATGAATATCATGCAACAAGCTCAAGGATCTAACCAACAACCCTTGGAAGAGAATTATGTTTTTCCAATAGAGTTACTTTCTGAGACTGTTGGTGATACTTGTACTGATTTATTTGCAGCTGATTTTCCATCATTATCTGATATTGATGATGTTTACTCTTGTGATGTTTGTACTGATATTAAAATTTGCTCTGTTTGTGCTGAAATTAAGGCCGCCTTGCAAGTTGACATTCTTACTGCAGATGAGGTTGCAAATGAAGTTGTTCATGTGGATGAAGCTCTCGACACTCTGGCTGCCCGAAAAAAATCATCCATCGAACAACCACCTTCCCGAGAGCTGAAACTAATTCCTGAAAATCTTAAATATGCTTATTTAGAGATGAATGAAAAACTTCTGGTTATAATTTCTTCTAAACTTTATTTTGATCAAGAAAGTAAATTTTTGTAGGTATTGAAGAAGCATAAGAAAGGAATTGGATGGATATTGGATGATATTTATGATACTAGTCTGTCCATGTGTATACATAGGATCTCAATTGAAGATGTAACAAATATAATGAGGCAACCCCTCAATATTTTGATCTTTGGTGTTGTGGAAAAGAAGATCACGTGCCCGTTCAACACTTTTACTTATCAAAGATTCTTCTTTGATCCTGAAATAAAAGGTGAAGGCACTAATAAAAATTTCAAGTTCAATGCACATTACTCAAAGCTACTCCATGAGAGTCCCACGTTGGAAGAAGAAACTATAGAAGAGATCTCATTGAGAAAGGCTACTTATGCGATCATCTATTCGCCTTGACTTCTCGGGTGTGTTCTTTCCTCTCTCTTCTCTCTCTTATTTTATGCTTATTTCTTTCAATGAGGACAATGTGTATTTTAAGTGTGGGGTAGAGAATTATTTATTTGTTTTGTTTTCTTTGCTTTTGTTCGTTGTTTTATTTTCAGTTATAAAAAAATAAAAAATATGCATATTTTTGAAAGTTTTGGGTTATAGATTAATATGAGGTTAGTTGTAGAGACTTGGGAAAAGTTCACAAGATCGGTATCGTCTTAACACTGTAAGTCTCATGCATATGGAAGTTAATTTGAATTTTTATTATGACGTAGCTTTGAATTCTCATCTTTTAATAACTCTTGAGTAGTTTATTTCAGCAGTCAACACCATCTCACACGCACTCTACACAGGGAAGCCGATGAAAATAAGTGAGTGATTCAAGTTTTATTTGAAAAAAAAAGGAAAGAAAAAGGAATGCGCCTTCTAAGTTTGGTGACCCTCACCCGGTCACTTAACCCAACGGCCATAGAACTTACAAAAAAAGTTGATAATAAGACTCGTTCTTAGTTGATTCAGCGGTTTCTGGTGCTGAACTTAGTAGGGCGGATTACGGTCCGATCCCCCACAACTACAACCGAGTAAGCAAAGGGTTATGCCACGTAAGTACCAGAACCCCGTAAAAAAGGATCAGAGTCACTAACTGGTCTCCTTGCTATGAGTGTATGGAGATAACGGGCTTAATGTGATTGCGCCTGAATGAAAAAGAGTAAAAAGGAGAATGAGTAAGTTAGGCTTTGGCATAATAATATAATTCGAATTGGTTTGCATATTCAAGAGACAAGATTAGTGTTCCTACGATATCCTTAGTGTGCAAGATTAGTACCTATTGATGCAATCTTAACTGAAGAAGAGTTTGTAGCCTAGAATGAGTAGCTGATGATGTTGTTGTGTTTCTTTTGATTTTATTTTGTTCGGAGTGCAAAAGTTCAAGTGTGTGGGAATTTGATCAGTGCATTTTGATTCACATTCTTTCATGATTGTACTTATGCATTTTCATGGTTTGTTTAGCTTATTTTTGTATTTTATAGTGTTTTTCTATTTTAGTTTATTTCTACTATTATTTTATTTTCGCACTTTATTTTCAGCATTAGTAGTCTGCACGAATAAATTCATAACTTGAGCTACGGGAGTTGGAATAAGGCGTTCTACTAGTCGTTGGAAAGCTAAGAGAAAGAGCTACAATTTTCTTTTAGAAGTCGAGAGCTGAATCAGAGTGTAGCAGGGTCATAAAATTCGTTGAAGTTGCAGCATTTTATATTTAAGTTTTGGGTCATTTGTTTTGGGTCTGGGTTATATTTTCGACCCAGTTGGGTTATGAACCGAATCTTTGTTCTTGCTATACCTAGCAGCCGCTACAATAATTTAGTTTTTACCTTTTCATTATTCAGAAAAAAAACTTTGACTTGTACGCTTGAATGAAGAACTAATCATCCAGAGTTGATCTATTGTAATCGTGTTCCGATGCTTTGAGGTTTTTAATTTATCAATTCAATTTTGTTTCTCTTTCAATTCTATTTTATGAAATTGTATTTGCTTAATCTATTATTTAATGGAATATCTTGATTAAATTCTCATGATTGTATTCCTAATCTTTAATCGTTGTTTACGTCGCTTAGTCGTTAAATCGCGTTCTATATCGTATTTGCTTAATTCACGATTATATTAATCCGTTTGCTTAATTCGGAATGAGAATTCAATCTATTTTATATCTATTGCGCTTGTTAATTGGTATTGAAATCGAATAGAGGTCGAAGCCGCTTAGGGAATTGATAAGTTAAAAACCAATGATTAGCAGGAATCTGAAAACAGTAGATCGACTTATTTTTATAATCACTTATTTTAATCACTTATTTCGTGTTATGAATCGATCCTAAAACCAACCCCCATTAGATTTCTATTAGTTAATAATAAAATTAAGAATCCTTGCGATACGACTCAAGCCATTATCGTTATACTGCATTTTACAAAATACTCGTTTTTTATTTGTGTGCGATAGCGTATCAAGCCCACTAGGAAACCCTATACCCGTATGTACATACAACTTTGTCGAAGCCATAACAGTGATATTTGTCTCAACTGGAGGAGTAACCTCCACATCATCTATTGCAGACGCCTTAGTAGTTGTTTGCGGAGTAGGCGCCTCGATAGTCGTCTATGAAGTAACCTCTATTGTAGTCAGAGCCTCTTCAGAAGGATGTGACATATGTGTCTCCGCCACCATCTGCATGTCATCTTGAATTGTTGCCTTAACATCAACGGTTTCATCATCACTTCTCGTCCATCTAGAAGCAGGTCTAAATACTTTACGCAGGGTGCACGAAACTGACCAGATAGCTCGCCTTATATGAGTAGCGTGCCTTATTAAGTTTTTTAAAAAAAAATCGGGTAAAAGTATATTATTTTTTGGATTTTTTTTTAATTTGGTAAAAATCCATACATTTTTCTGAATTTCTTGCAAATTTTGGTAAATCTGCATATATTTTTACCATTTTTTTAAAAAAATTTGAAAATGTATATTTTTTTTTTTGAAAAACCCAATAAAAATACATGAAAAAACAAGTGATATTATTAGATTATTTAAAAAATACGGTGAAAATGATAATTACTTGTCATAAACTCTGAAAAAATGCGGTAGTGTCTTACAAAAAGTTAAAAATCTCTATAGATTTTCCAAAAACTCAAAAATCATTTAGTGATTTTTGACTTTTGTGAAATAAATTTTAATAGATAGTCAATATTATGGGTGTTCGCGGTGCGGTTTGGGCGGTTTTGAAGTAAAAAATCTTCCGAACCGCAAGAGAAAAAAACATGTGGTTTGGTTTGGTTCGGTTGACTTTTAAAAATAAATCCGAACCAAACCAAACCAAACTAATGCGGTTTGGATTGGTTCGGTTGTTTCGGTTTTTTACAAAAATAATTATTATGTCATACATACAAATATATAGGAAAATATAATTTTATATTTAATTGTTCATACATTACCATAAAAAATTTATAATTGTCAAAATAAATTTATAATTTGATACATAAAATTGTGTATTATAATTTTATCTAAATATAAATAATGATATCAACAAGATTGCATTCTTAAATAAATATTATACAAAGAATATGATAAAATATATTTTGTGAAAATAGTATTTATAAATGAATAATATTTTATTTTTTATGATTTGTAAATTAAAATGAATATAATACAAAGTATGATAAAATATACACATAATACATGTTGATTTCTCTAAAGAATTATAGAAATATATATTGGTTAGTAAGATTTTATAACATAATGCGGTTTTGTTTGGTTTGGTTCGGTTTGTAAAATACCGAACCGAACCATGCGGTTCTACGAGAAAATGAACCAAACACATCCGAACCAAATACGGTTTTTTGCGGTTTTGATTTAGTTTGGTTCGGTTTTGCAGTTTTCTATTGGGCCGGTTTGGTTTTGAACACCCCTATATGATAAAAGCATAGAGTGTGTGGGGGTGTAAGCTAAAAATGGAGGTGGTAGGAAGATTTATTTTTCTTACACTGTTATCTCTACGACCCATTCTTACACCCTGTTAAATCTCAAGAGAGAGAACATCACAAATCACAATTGAAAGGTTCTGTAATCCCAAAACCCTAAAAAGAAAAGAGAAGAAAAAGGTTCTACGAATCAGAGAAGCAGCCATGTTTCCAGGATTCATGCGAAAGCCAGACAAGACTGCAGCATTGAAGGAGCTCAAAACTCACGTCGCCATGTTCGGGACATGGGTCGTTGTTGTTCGTCTCACCCCTTACATTCTTCACTTTCTCAATCGCGAAAGCGAGGAACTCAAGCTCGAGCTTTAGATTCGCATAATATGGTAATTTACTATCCACTTTCAATTTCAATTTCTGGGATGCAAATGTCTGGATTCTGTTTTCAAGATCCTTTGGGGTGTATTATTATATGAAAGATTTAGGTTAATTAGGGTTTGATTTTGTCTGGTTTTGTATCCATGAACTTTCTATGCGGTTTGAAAACTTTTTGTGTTAAAATAAAATTTAGGGTTTTAATCAAACATACACTGCTGAATTTGAATGTATCGTTATCAGGGTAGTGTATTCGGTTCATCTGTGTTTGGGTTTTGATGTTTGTATTTTACTTATTATTCATTTAGACTTAATGTATCCATGAATTAATGTATTTGTGGAAGTTTCTTGGTTGTATTTTTTTATTTATTTTTGCATTAAAGGTTGGCGATTTTGTACATTGGGCGGTTAAGAATCAACACGGGAATTTAGTAAGTGTAGCAGAGATGAGGGTGTTGTGGTGGATGTAGTAAGACTCGACTGGGTAAAATTAGTAATGAAAGTATAAAGAGTATCGGGGTAGTGCCTATAGTTGAGAAGATGGTGGGAAATAGACTTAGGTGGTTTGGGCATGTAGAGAGAGGACCGGTAGATTCTGTAGTAAGGATGAATAAGGAGGGTATACCAGATGGAAAGAAGGCAAACAATTAGAGGAAGGGGAAGACCTAGAAAAACTATCAGAGAAGTTATTAAGAAAGATCTCGAGATAAATGGTTTGGATAGAAGCATGGTACTTGATATTATAACGAAAGTTGATCCATGTAGCCGATCCCACTTAGTGGGATAAGACTTAGTTGTTGTTGTAAAGATTGTTGATTTTGCTAGATTTTGATAAGTACCCAATCACTCAAGGAAGTCTCCCTTAAAAGTTAGTTATCAAACCACTTAGATCTAGGCTCCCCATAATACTCAAGTTCCTATTAGATTTCATTTAAGACTACTCGCTCCGTAGGGTTTGTCTTGTTTTCTTTGCAACCAACACTTCCTGCCCAAGGCATAGTTTATAATCTGAATCAGTTCCAATTCCTCTAGACCCATTCACTGATTGGGTCCTTATCCTCAACGAAGCCGCTTCCCTCACTGCACTGGCTATCCTTGCTCAATGCTGTTGAAACATGTTATTGAATTAGTTGTTAGAAATCTTAGTTGGGGGAGTTGAACTACAACCCTTATCTTATCTCTCCAACGCTTATGTTCCTCCCCAAACCATTCCTTTCTAGGTTTAACTAATACTCCTATTTAAGCTCTTTCTCTGCCTTGTTCTTTTAGGCACCTTTTGTGTCTTGAGTTCTATCTTGGTTATAAGTTTTGTTGTATGCTGCTTCTACATCCTGTCTTATAGGCCTCAAGTCAGTTCATCCCACTTCATATACCATTGTAAACTGTTCAAAGCAGTTTATTAGGTCAGCCATTCCTATTATCTGCATAGGCCACACACTCCTATCCTATGTGTTGTTTCATAAGTTTCTCGTTGACTGCGCTAGGGCCATGTGATGCGGCGCCTTTCCAACCTTGTTTGTCATTACTATTGATCGCAATCTGCCCATTTATGTCCCCAATTCATATTTTGTATTGATTTGGTCATCTTATTGCAAGAATTTTACTGCTGTAGTTTGGTTTTGGTTGTCTTACGGTTGATATGGCATTTGTTGTCACAGCTGTAGTGTGGTCTCAATTTCATCCCAGTTGCAGTCTAGGGCCTCAAATTTTGTCTCAGTTAGAATTTGATCTCGGCGTCATAGATGTGGTTTGGCCTCAATGTTTTATTTTCCAAATACGATCTGCTAGCGGGTTTTCCATATGAAATCACTTGTAACTAGCTTAATGTTTTAGCTTGAGGTGGGGTGTTAGTTAGATTATACCATAATAATTCCAGGCTAGTTCTTTTTCTTTTGTGTCACCAATAAACAAAACTTTAATCAAAATTCCAGGTTTTTATTCCCTTGTCTTTTGTGTCTCCATTTCATAAATGCTATAGGTTTGTATTCCCTTCTCTTCCCTATTTTTTAAAAACCTATAACATCAACACTAGTAACTGATCTTCGGTGTATTTGCAGTCTCAAATCTCAATGTTGTAATAGTGAGCTGTCTATTTTGTTTTCATTTTTCTGTAAATTCTATTATTCCTCATAATTGTGGTTTTTTTCTTCGGCCCTGTGGCAAACACAATGCATCCTGTTTTTTTTGTTTTTTTATAATTGGTTTTGCAAACTTTTGTGGCTTACTGTTTATAACTGTTTTCTATCTTACCTTTTTTATTGGTGCAGAGTGGTCTTGAGAAGGATACTTGCTTGGGTTCTGGAGGAACTTCATCAAATAATGTTTTTCTGTAACCCTTAAAATTGTGTGGAGATGATACATTGTTTAGTATAATAGACAATGCCATTTATATTTTTTTTACATTGACAAGCTTATGAGTAAGCTTATGAGTAACTCAACTGCAAAACAAGGATAGTTTAAGGCATTTTTATGTATTTTGGTTTTACTTTTTATTTTTGGGTGAGTATAGTGAAAGAAAATTAAATGAAAGTTTGAGCTTTGATTATAATGAGTTTTTATACAATAATTAACATAAGTAAAAAGGACATAGGCAAGTTGTTAATGGGATTGTTTTTTAAATTTGGTGATAGAATTTTCTTGATTTTCAAAGTTAGCCTAAAACGACATGACCTTGGGAAACTTAGAAAATAAGTGAAGGGAGGTTTTGTGGAATATGGAAGGAATGTTGGCTAGTTCTCTATTAAGTTTATGTTTTTCCATAGAACTAAATCTTCAAATATTGTAATATTATATTCATCGGTAGAAGATTTTGACAATTTTCAAATCCTTATAATTTATTACTCCAAATATTCTCCAAACAAAAGAGTAATGGTATTGGTCCTTTTCTTTGTTAACGCCAAATACTTTAGAAGCATATAATTTTCAATCAACTGAATAGATTAATTTCTTATCATCTCATCTAAAGATAAGTGTAAAGAACACTCTTTTTAACACTCCAGCACTTGGAACGTTTTCTTTTCAACACTCTAGCATTTACTATTTTATTGGGTGAAATATTTGTTTTTATTGGGTGAAATATTTGTGGGTTCATTACTTTAGAAATAAATCTCAAAGTAGTAAGGATCTACGAATGTTTCATCCAATAAAAAAGTAGCATTCTTTCTTCTCATCTAAATATTGTTGAGTAGGAATTCAATAGTTTGATTAACAATTTAGTTTTATTTTTTTTTAAAAAAAAGAAGCAAGGCCTTTCTTGGCATTTGCTTTTGCAAATTAAATATATTATGTTTGATTAATAAAAATAGAATAATAAATATAACAATTAAAATAGTAAATAATTAAAAATATTAAATAAAAGAAGTTAATAATATTATTACATCAATTTAATCAAATGTCATGGGTTCGATTTTATTTTTGAGGAGTTCGATTTCATCCTTGAGTACGAGGTGGTGTTAAACTTTTGAAAGAGTTTTGTCTTTAATTATAATTTTCTCCTATTTGAAAAATTATTTTCTACAATTACGTTTATAGAATATCAAATTTTTTAAAAAAATATTATAACAAATTCTTTTAATGGAGACCAAGTCTATAATGGTATTTGTTTATATATAAAAAACAGTATTCTTATTGCAAAGCAATTGAATGTTTATCCTTGTTTTCAATTAAATTCTTATTCCTTAAGGATATAGGTATAAAAAAAGTCATAATGATGATAATATGACAAAATCACCTTAAATAAATCTCCTTGATAATATGAACAATTTTGTGGCTTTGACTTTCTAATGTTATTAATTTTAGGGTGTTGTTCACTAAGTTCTAAGATATATTTTGTGTATAGTTCGGATTTTAAAATACAGATGAGCCTATTATAAATAAAATTACTAATAAGAGAGACACCATTGTATTTGTCAAAAAAAAAATATATAGATTTTAATCTCTGAACAAATCTTATACATTAACTATGTATTTTTAGTGTTTTCTTACAATGAGAGTGTGCTATGTATATTGTGTGTTGCCAAAAAAAAAAGTTTGGATTTAATCTCTGAATTAATCTTGGATAGTTTTTTATTGATAGCCACTAAGTTAAAAGAAATTCTATTTTTTAATGAATCATATATTATATGTCATTTATAAATCAATTTCATAGACCATTTTATCGCCAACACATTCATGACATGGTCAGCCATTGCCTACTTCTTTAATAAGATTTTTTAATGAGCTAGTCTTAAGGAATCTCCTTACACACCGAGTGTCATGTAAAAATGTGACACTGTATAAAATCGTTGGAGATAACTATATACCGTACTCCATGAACGAGGAGCTGACACACTACATACATTCTTTAAGACCAAATACGTGGTCTTTGGGTATACTGTACAAATACCTGAACTGTCATAGTACTCGCTCGGGTAGATACGAGTACATAAGTCGAGACCCAAACCCGTCACCCAGAGTACAAGACTATCACCTTTAAGGGTGGAGTATGACAGTGCTCATCGTAGGACGAGAAATAGATATTATTTGGCACGATGAAATCAAGATAAATTCTGAATATCTCGTTCGCTGAGCTCCAACTGAATGGAACAATCGAGCTGACACATGGCAATTCCTCAAAATAGTCATTAACATATTCTCATTCGACGAGACATGGAAAATGTCGGTGAATCCATGTTTGAAAATATTTTTGATAAAATATCAGTAAGAGTGTAACACAAGTATTATGTAATTAATATTAGCAAGTATGCAATTTTTTTATATCGTAAATAGACATTTGTTTGTTGTCATCTGTCGAGTCTTCCATTGACTACCTCCAACTAACTTGGAGTTGAGGTAAACCAAACAAATTGCCCTAAGTTGTACTCATAAATTATCTCCAAGTCAATGAAGTATCTAACGTAGACAACAATGACATAGGTCGTACTTTTGTTCTTAAATATATACATGCCGACCAAAATCATGAAGTATGACCCCAACGCACATGCCCTATGGTATGCAACCTATGCATCATCACCCACAACATCCATAACTGCATCTATGTGGTCTTCATATAGCTTCACTATGAATGAAAATCTAGCATGACATCATCTAGTGTCATCTATCTTCAGTTAGGCTTTACTCGATTCGGCTCCTAAATATGTAATCATCAGGTCTAGTGCATTAGGTTTATTGATTTTGGAGTAATCTAATAACCTTACTTTGATCGAACTATGTAGAAGGCATGAGACATCCTCGAGTGTGATGGTCATCTCATTGATCAAAAGATGAAATGAAGAGGTTGTTGTGTGTTATCACTCCACAAACACAAACAATAAAATATGGTTAATATAACCATATCCATACCTACGTAAGTTCTTCACCCGAAATAGCTGTAGGACATCTTGAATACATCATTGTCAGACAGTTCAATTATTATAACACATGTGTTAAAAAAGTAAATAAAGATTTATGCCACTTCTCCATCCCACACATGCCTATCACCATGGTTTGCATACATAAGTAGTAATGAAAGGTCTGACAGGCCTCCCAAAAAAACTATCATACACAACATCATCAGATAAAACAGGGGCTTTCAGGATAGTAGGAGATTCATGATGAACCAGAGACACATAAATTCGGAAAGACGATGCTGGAGATAGATGAATCCAAGAAGCTGATGCTTTAACATCAAATAAAGTCTCTTCAAATGCGAGCCGCGAGGGTCTAGATTTCTCCACGCGAATGGAAGTATGTTGGACCACTCTATTATATCTCATTCTTTCTTAGTTGTTAGACATTTTTCCTATAGTTAAAGAAGAAAAATCACGTCATAACCAAAGAAATTATTTGCAAACTGAACCAAAAAATAAAAAACAGGTAAATCTGAATTTTGTTATCCTGACAAAGGACTCAAACATCAAAATCTGCGGTGAACGAAACTAGAACAAATGAATAAAAAACAAAGCATATAAACCCTAAGCAATAAAAATTCAAAATTTCAAGGCAAGACAATTTAGGACAAAAAAAATATGATTAACTTAACGTATCACACCTAATATATCAATACCTATAAATTATTTGTGCAATGCATGATAACAAATAAAAAAGTAAGGAAATGAATAACTTATCAAATGTGAGATATGGTTGATCATGGATTGAATGTAGTGGAGAAGAACTTCAAAGATGTGCTAAGTTTTAATGCAATAGAGTAAAAGTTATGAGAAAACTTATAAAATGCAAGAACACGAGTATGCTCACAAACTCTATTTACTCTTTTTACTAAAATGAAAAAGAGAATGGAGAGTGAACGGTTTGGGCGTGATTACTTAAACAAAATAGTTCATATTCCATCTCCGTAAGAATTTTAGACTTTGAAATCCATTTTATTTAAGGCGTGTGTTTGCATAGTTGAGATCAGACATAGGTGTTGAGGCGTATGTCTATAACTTACTAATATGTATTTCAAAATTCAAATTTTTTTAACATATCTTTGATATATTTCAAAGAATTTTTTATGTATTTAATGCTTCTAAATAAATTCAAAAGATATTTTTGAATTTTTAGCAGAGTATGTTAGTAAGACATGAGTGTAATGAACCTTCCTCAAATTTTGTAGAGGTCTAAATAAGGGGCTTAAGGCCTTATTATTAATTTTTTTGTAAAATTTGTTTGAAACAATATTTTTTAATCTTTCAAATTTATATTTAAAAAAAGATAATTATAAAAATAAGTTTTAACAAAAATTAATTTTATTTTTGAAAAATTAATTTCAAAAATATGTTTAAAATTTTTTATTTTATGAAAAAAAAAACTCTTTTCTGAAAATGAAAAAAACATATTTTAAAAAACTTTTTTTCATTTTTTTTCTCGAAAAATGAAGGAAAAAAAAAAGATTATTTTAGGTGAAACGGTTGGGGGTTTGAGACCAAACTTTTTTAATTTGAGGAACTTACTTATTTTAAAGCTCATTTAATTTAAAAAATTTAGATAATAAATTTTGAGGCCTTTAAATTAGACCACAGCTCTACTTAAGCATAATAGTATTTTATATATATATATATATATAATATATATTTTTTTAATTTTTGTCTTGTAAACATGAAATATATTCTGTAATAATATTTCTTATTCCTTAAACTAAACAATGCAATAAAAGTAATAATATTTTTTAGACATGCTTAGAGAAAATGAAACATATTTTTAAAGTCATTTGAGACTAAACAATATATTTCTTTCGCAGTTTAAGAAACATAAATATTATTGTTCCTGCCAAATCCTTATGAATAGCATTCCCAAAGTGAATCAAGGCAAGGTTAAGGTTATTATGTATTTCCGTAATGGAAAGCTTCCTTTTATACTTCCACCCATAGGTCTTACATTCGCTCATGAAGAAATTTTCTAACTCTTGCCACCGCCTTCTTATGAGATGTAACACTTTGCTTATAAGCTTCCATAACACCCATAGTCAGGGTCACTAGTGTCCAGACTTCATATATCGGCAACATCCTCTTTCGTACATACCAGCCTTATGCATATGTGGCCGACTTTAGTTTAGTTTACACAAAAATATAGAGTAAAGTTGATACTATATTCCGAGTTGTAGTTTAAACTGATGGATTCAGTTCTCAAACAAACATTAAACAGCCCTTTTAACAAAATATCCTTTACCTTGTAATTATCATTCTACAAAAGAGGTATTCCTGAATATTTGATGCACACAAGCTATTGAAGTATGATATCACACAAAAGATAGACAAATCTTGGATAACTAAGAGACAGGATCCTTTGTGGTGTACCATTATTCTGATGAAAGCGAAGTTAGAGAATCAGATACTCCTGGTAGTCTTTGGGAAGGATCTCTGGCCGGAGTACTAGGCACAGTGGAATCAAACTGTCCCACTCTCATTTTCTGAAGTGCTGAAAATGACTCTCTTTTGGCTGACATGGCTTCAAAGTATCGAGTGCAAGACGCCAACGCTACAGGAATAGGTCGAAGCATCTCCTGTTAAAAAAAAAAGGAATTTCGTTTCAAATGCAAGTAGACATTCAATTATGCTCAGTTTTCCAAATAGGAAAAACGAATAAAAATTAAATTCATTGTCCCCGAGTCATGTTCTTGGTGCGTAGTCCAAGTAAGTATAGTGGCTAATAACATTAAGGGTATGCAACAAAAGATAGTAGGTGAAAACTAGGGTCCAGGAATGCAAATTAGTTTGTGTTATAATGGAAACAGCAAGTCCAAATATCAATATTAAGTAACAATAAAAATGACTTTAGAAGCATACCCCCCAAACTGAAGGAGGCTCCTTAAAATTCTGACTCCATTGAAAATCTGCCACTGATGCTGTCAAAGCACCATAATCACTAGCTGCCTTCATCAGCAGTTCAGAGAATTGTTTCTGCACGCATTAGAAAAATATGACACAAACTCTACAATATGTCTTACATTGACTGAAAATTATAGTTTATCTATCATTTACACCAATTATCTACTAAAATTGCGTGTAAGGATATATTATTTGTAATATATAATGAATCGATTGTTGTCCAATGGGAAAACTAGGTTTTGTAACGGGGCAAACAAGACATTAGTTTCAATATTAGAGTTGAGAGATAAAATTAAATATCATCCTTATACTCTAGTCGAAGTAGATTATTTGAACAACAAATTATGCTCACCAACCTGATATTCTGCTTCAACAGGAATGCAATCAAGGGAATACGGTTGTTGCAGACGAGCAATAATGCGATCCTGGCAAATTTTAGAAACAAAATGGTGTGTAAAAGTATATAGGAACATCTAAAGGAGTCGTCAAAATACAAATAAGTTAGAAACCAAGGTCTAATACCTTGTTATGAATAACGTCTTTAAGAATGGTAGTAATCCTTGCTAGAGTCTGAATCTTGTTCTCCATTTCACTCACATGTGTCAAATGTGCAACATTTTTATCATCCTAAAAACATACAGAAAGATATATAATAAATAAAATTGAAAGAAAAATAAAAAGAGTGATGTGGAGATGTAGATCCAAGGTTTGACCTTTCGTCCTTGAAGTTCGACTTGCAAATCAGCAATTTTCCTCTGAACGGAAGATAACTCTCTCAAAACCCTAATTAAGTCTTGGCCCTTTTCGGCGGTTGTTGGGGAGGAATTCTGCGGAGGTTCGTGGGGGGAAGATGAAGATGAAGATGAAGATGAAGATGAAGATGAAGATGAAGGTGAGACGTTGAAACCGAGATCGGCGGCGATCGAAAGAGCATCGGACATTCCTCCAATGCGCTTCACGGCTTTCCTTCCTACCCAACTGGATTCGTTTCCCATTGACATTTTCAAATTTCAATCTAAGGACGAACCGAGGAGCTTTTCAAGTTCCGAATGTTTCGTTGCTTCCTTTCCTCGGCAATCACTGTTTTTATATTTGAGATTTTGGATAAATGCTCGGAAAACACCATAGGAGTTGCTGAAAAAAACTCATGTAGGAACAGTTGCGGAGCCGGACAAAAAAATTTGGAATGACTTTTTAAGATAAACTAAAAATTATAAATAATTATAAAAATTATATATATAAAACATTTAAATTTTAATCAAATTTAATAAAATATTAATAAAACATAATTATATATAATTATATATTAGTAACAATTGTGACAAAAATATTAATTTCTTGTTTATTGTTAAGTAATTTATTAAGATAATAATTCTTAAGAATAAAAATGTTTAATTTTAATACTAAAATAAATATTTTAAAATTGTAGATATATTTTTAATATTTGAATAGAATTTTAAAATTAAAAATATATTAAAAAAATGAAATGAAATTTACTAAATATATAAGATAACGAGAGTTCAAATATAAAATATAGAGATATGATGAAGACTACTATAAGTGTATATGGTGATGAATTTATTAGATGTAGTCGTGACACTATTAAAATGTTGATATTTTTAAATAGAAATTTGAAATAAAATAAAATTCGTTTTAAATGACATTAAATTTTTAGATAGATTTCAATCATGTAGAGATTTTGAGACGGATTTGAAACTAATATAATTGTTGTTTTTTTACTATATTTTATAAATTTTATTCCAAATTTATGTGATATATTGAGACGGGTTTGAGACAAATTTCAATTTTAGAGACTTTTAAGATAGATTTCAAAAATAAATACATAATTGTTTATTATTTTATTATTTTTTTTGGAAACTCAATCTCAAATTTGTGTAAAATATCAACACAGTTTTTAGAAAGAATTTCATCGTGTATATAGACTTTGAGATAAATTTTAGATATAATTTTAATTTGTTGTTTATTTTATTCTTTTTTATATTTCATCTTAAATTTGTGTAAAATTTTAAGCTAAATTTGAGACAAAATTACGAAGAGTCCTTGAAATGATAATTCACAAAATACTTATTTATTTTATTTGTTTTTATGAAAATTATGTCTCAAGTCTTTGTCAAATATTTAGACAAATTTGAGACTAATGTTAATTTTATAAATAATCATTGAGGTGTACTTTAAATATAATACACAATTATTAGTATTATTTCTAATAGTTTTCCTTAAAAAACGAATATAAATTAATTAAGAATATCAATAATAAATTAAATAATTAATTTAGTAATAGTTAAGAATGATGATAATAATTAATTAAATTTTTATATGTGAAGTGAAGTGGTAGTTTATAGAGTGAAATATAAATATAAAGTAAAATAGTTGAATGTAAGTGTATTGTATGTTTAACTAGGATTGAAAGTACATTTTAATTTACTAATATTTTTAATGTATCAGTTGTGCAAACTTAATGAACATATTTTTCAGTATGTAATATCTAATGACAATTATATATATTTTCCTTTAAAAAAGAATAATGGGGTGGTCGCGGGCTTCCTTTGCCACCGCTGTCTCCGCCACTGTGTAGGAGTTGCTAAAATTTTTACCCCATACACCTACATTTCCTATACCTCAATATTTAACCTTTTTTTTACCAAAATGTCCTTCACATAAATAGGTTTTTTTTATAAAAAAAATTCACTCTTTCTTCACTCTCGTTTTTCACTTTTTTGAAACATAAAATTTGTCTGCATTCAAGAACTCTTGCCACAAGTTCTCCGGTTCACATTTTCCAAACTAGAATTTCTGAAGTAAGTGTTTCGATTTTAGTTTATTTTCTAAACTCCTAAAATAACTCTTTTGGTTTACAACAACACGCTGAAAGACATTTACAAAGAGTTCTGTTTTTTATGAAACACATATTCGAAGTCTTCAGCAAAGTGTTCTGATTATTTTAAATTTTTATAAATAAAAAGTCTTCTATCAAAGTGTTTCAGTTTACAATTTAAAAAAAAAATATTATTTGTGTTTGTTGTGATTTTGGCAGTGGCGCGAACACAGGGCATCGATGGTCGGATTCCAAGTCGTAGTTTGGGATGAGGGACTCCATCGATGTTGGTAGGTGAGGAAGGGCATATTGGTGCATTTGCATCCACCACAACAAGTTAGATTTTCAAGAGGGTCGTACGATACATCTCTTTTGGTAAATTACGAGCATCCTATTGCTCGACATATATGGTTCAGTGAGGTATGTAAATGACACTTACTTTATATTGAATAACATTTCAATTTTATTTTTGTTATATAATGTATAATTTTAATTATTTTCAGGAGCGACGCCCAAAGAAAGAGTTGAAGGTTCTTGGACATGGGCTGAAGCTTGCATCTACGGTTTCTCATCGTCTCCCACCGGAGATGGAGAGTTGGGCGAGTTGGTCTGATCTATCTTCATTTTAGAGAACTAGTTTGACGAAGATAGACACAAACCTAATATTACCATTTATGGAGAGATGGCATCCAGAGACATCTTCATTTTACATGTTATTTGATGAGATGACTATTACACTAGACAAGGTCTCTTGTTTACTTCACTTGCCCACCAAGGGCGTGTTCTGGACCCCCTCGAGATGTATCTGAAGAAGTTGTTCTTGAGATTGTTGTTGAATACTTATGAGTGCCAAATAGTGAGGTATCATAACATGTATGTGCCTGTAGGGGTGCTTATTATAAGTTGGAGTGGATGCGCAAGTTATTTACACATCATCGAGCTGCTGTGATTGTACGATCATAGCATATATGATGTTGTTGGTGGGTTCAACGATTTTTGCTGACAAGACTTTTACGCTTGTCGAGGCACGATATCTAATGTTATTCGAGACTTGGACGAACGTGGGAGATATAGTTGGGCAGCATATGTGTTGGTCACCCTCTACTGATATCTCAAAGATGCTTCCTTTTTCAGTTGCAAGCAACTAGGTGGATATCCTACTTTGTTACGTGTATTTATTTTAATTTAGTTTATTTATTTTTATTTAAATTTTTTTATTAATAGTTTTAATTTTGTAACATTGATGAATTCATGAGTATTTTCTCACTCTTGGGAAAAGATGAGAGACTTGGAAACCAGCAGTATTTTCCCACGGGTTTCTTCCCTTTCTTCTTCACTCATTCTTTAATTTTTAATTTCTCAGGTGGTGAACACATCGAAGGTGTTGCGGAGTAAGCAAACTCACAAAACCTACTTTTTAATGCTCTTTTTCCAATAACTTCTAGTGACTTAAACATTTACATAATTCATATTTTGCATTACTCATATCCACCTTTGATCCATGATCAGCATCTACCTCCAACTCAACTTCCATTGTTATTTTCCTCCAATAAACATGAATATTGTCTATTGGTATCAGTATACCTCCAAGTGTGTATCTTCCTAACTCATAAGTACAAGGTAACCCATAAGATGTTTGATCGGAAAAATAGCAAATGTATTATTTTGCATCTGTAGTAATAATGAGGAAAGTTTCCTGAATGTCCATCTCAAAGACTGCATATAAATATCGAGTTTGAATTATGTTCAATTAAACAAAAAACAAACGTTTTGGTTTGAATTACGAGTAGATAAAAATAATTGTGAATAAAATAAATACACGCGAAAGACTGTTTCGATAGATATGAGTAACATGCTAGAGTAGGTGTGTGAATTATCCCTGTAACAATTCTGAATTAATATTGCAACAACTTATTTTATATAATCAATTACCGGTTCTTAAGGGTGTTTACTCCTAAGTCCTTAGAGAGGAAACCTTCAATCATTCATCATAAGCCCTAAGTCCAAAGAAACTTACAGATGAAATTAAGAATTTTTATTATCAAGAATATCTAGTTGCTATAAGGTATCCCTAGTCCTAGGTGATATCTACTATAGCATAATCTCATAAAAGCATTAACAATGGTGGTCCAACCTAATTTCTAATCATAAATCAAACCTTTTTTGTCCGACAAAGAAGGCAATAAAAATATTAAGAGATTAAATCAATTATGAAAATAAATATTGTTATTGCAATTATCAAATCAACGTCATTACATATGAAAATTAGGAAAATCCCCTAGCATTAGGGGGTTTAGCTATTCATAATGTTCAAAGAAAATAAAAGATAAATTATAAATATTACAAGTATTAGGGAGAAATTTGATCTTCAATCGCTTCCGTTCATGAAAATCTCCTTCCACCGAAACCCTTGTCTTCTCCAATCTTTTCTCGTGTAATTCTTTGCTTGCCAAAAAGTTCCCTAATTCATCGTTAAAACTTATCTAAATAGAAATAATCCATTAAAACCGGTCGAAAATGCCCAAAACGCCCCCACAACTTAACCCATGGACAAAATATTAAAAAAAAACCCAGCAAAATCAATGTCTTCATGTGCTACATACCGTGTCAAGTAACATTGGTGGTCGTAACGCCCTTCTGGAATTAGACTTTATCCTCTTACGTTCCAAGACCACCACTACAGGTCGTGTCAGCCAACACGGGCACCCGTAGTGCTCCATAGTTTCTTTCTTTCTCGTGGGAACCAGACCTGCTACGGGTCGTGTCAACTAACAGAGGAGGTCGTAGCAGGCCTCTTGATACTTGATTTTTTTATTTCTCCGAAACTTCCAATTTTACAATTTTCGCACCGAGTCTTCTTGAGTTCTTGACATGACCTGAAAGCAATTAAAGACACAATACCACAACATAAAATGCGGCAAATACGAATAAAACAATGCGAAGTTTGACTAAAATGATCGGTAAATAAAGGTGTAAAAACCACTGATCAAACTCTCCCAAACATAGACCATTGACATGTTGGGACATATGATCTGATTTAAACAACATAAGTAAGGTATAAACAATAAAAACAATACTGAAAAGCATAAAAACACAGATAAATTGTTAACCCAGTTCAGAGCAACTCTCCTACTTTAAAGGCATACCAAGCCATGGAAAAGTCTA